TCAGACCTCTATCTCGTCCATGTCCAACCACCTCGGGAGGAGGCAGCGGGTGCTCCCAAGAGGTCTCGTCGTGATTCGTGCACCATGAGCGACCGACGAGAAGAAACGGCCTTACGCGAGACGACGCAGCGACCTTACGCCGCGGCTTCTGCGGGCCGCCAGCATGGCACACCGCCGCCTAGAGAAGAGGGCGCTTACGCGCGAGGCTTACGCGCGAGCGTCGGCGCAGTCGACCCCGTGTTCTTCTGTCGCTCACGCGGGCGCGCGGACCTCTCGACCGCTTCCGTGGGAGCATTTTTGGGGCATTTGCGTAGCACCCCACGGTTGCGGAACAGAGTGAGGGGGCGGGCGCGGGCGACGCGGGCGTCGAGCCGGCGGACCGCCGCAGGTGCCGAATCTTTGGCTTGTTCAGTGAACGTAGTTTGGGTCGCGGGAGGGTCGCGGGCTCTCCACCTCCACCTGGAAGGAATTCAAAAAACAGCCCGCCGCAGGCGCCGAAAATTTTGACTTGTACGCTGAACGTTGTTTGGGTCGCAGGTTCTCCACCTGGAACGAATGCCAAAGAAACCCGCCGCAGGCGCCGAAGTTTTGGCTTGTTCAGTGAACGTAGTTAGGGTCGCGGGTGGGTCGCGGGCTCTCCACCTCCACCGGGAAAGAATTCAAAAAACAGCCCGCCGCAAGCGCCGAAAGTTTGAGTTGTACAATGAACGCGGCTTGGGTCGCGGGTGGGTCGCAGGTTCTCCACCTGGAACGACTGCAAAAGAAGGCCGCCGCAGGCGCCGTAAATTTTGGGTGGGTCATGGGGTGGGTCGCGGCAGGGTCGCGGGTGGGTCGCGGTGGGTCGCGGGTGGGTCGCGGGCGCGGTTTGGGTCGCGGGTGGGTCGCAGGTTCTCCACCTGGAAAGAATGCAAAAGAAACCCGCCGCAGGCGCCGAAAATTTTGGGTGGGTCGCGGGGTGGGTCGCGGTGTGTCGCGGGTGGGTTGCGGGGTGGGTCGCGGGTGGGTCGCGGGTGGGTCGCCGGAAGGTCGCGGGTGGGTCGCGGGCGGGTCTCGGGGTGGGTCGCGGGCGGGTCGCGGGGTGGGTCGCGGGGTGGGTCGCGGGGTGGGTCGCGGGCGGATCGCGGGTGGGTCGCGGGGTGGGTCGAGGGTGGGTCGCGGGGCGGGTCGCGGGTGGGACGACGACAACAACAAACAACAACAACAACAACAACAACAACAACAACAACAACAACACCAACAACAACAACAGCAACAACAACAACATCAACAACAACAACAATCATCTTAATACTGATCGCTCTTATATGCGCGCGCGTCACTCAATATGTAAATCCCAAACCCTCGATACCCACCCTCTTCGTCTTCGGTCATACCCCTTTGGGGGTATATCTTTTTTACTCGCCACGTGTAGTTGGCGCAGCCCCTAAAACAGGAAGAGCAGGGGGAAGGAGGAAGGGAGAGCGAGGAGGAAAAGAGTGGGGGGAGGGAGGGAGGAGGGAAGGGGCAAGGGGGGGAGGATGGATGGAGGACGAAAGAGGTTAGCAGGAGGGGAGGGGGGCAAAAGAGGAGGTAAACAAACGGACGAACCAGACAGACGGGTCGAGCGGCGGACTCTGAGGGGCGGGTCGGGCTGGCGGGGCGGGCGGACGCCAACGGACGGGTCGGGCGGCGGACCCTCGCTGGCGGGTCGGGCGGGCGGTGGCTTAAAGCGGGCGGGCGAGATGCCAAGAGAGCGAACGGGCGGGCTGTAACAGGCGGATCGGGCGGGCGAAACCTGGCGGGCGGGTGACTAAAGGGTGAATCCTGAATGAATCACGAGGCACACCCTCGATACCCGCCCTCTTAGTATTCGAACGTACCCCCTTTAGGGGGATTATTTCTCTTTGGAAGGGCGGGCGGAGGGACGAGGGAGGAGGGAAGGGAGCAGGGAGGGACGAGGGAGGAGGGAAGATGCTAGGAGGGACGGGACGCGGAGGGGGGAGGACGATTTAGAGGGAGAGAGAGAGAGAGAGAGAGGAGAGAAAGAGAGAGGGGGGAGGAAGGGAGGGAGGAGGGAGTTTGGAGGAGGGACGAGGAAGGAGAGAGGAGAAACAGGAGGGAGGAGGGAGGAGGCAGGAGAGGGGAGGGAGGAGGCAGACGGGAGGACGGAGGAGGGAGGCAGGAGAGGGGAGGGAGAAGGGAGGAGGAGGGAGGGAGGGAGGAGGGGAGGGAGGAGGGAGGAGGGAGGAGGGAGGAGGGAGGAGGGAGGGAGGTGGGAGGCCGACCCGGGGAGGCCGCCCGGGGACCGGCCGTGGAGAGACCGCACAGGCTCCCGCAGTCTCGGGGGCGGAGGGCCCGCCCCCGAAACAGAGGAGGGAGAGTCCCAGGCGGGAGCGCCGATCCTGGATTACCGCAGATACGCTGCACACGTGTCCCTGGGCGGCTGGGCGGTGTCCTCGGAACAATTGTTTCGAGCGGCGCCCGGCCGTGGCGCCCGTTCCAAGGAGCGCCTCCGCCTGAGTAAACTGCGAGGAAGTCCCAGGCGGGGGCGGGGGTCCTGAGTAAATTTGGAAGACGTATCAGGCGGGAGCCGTTGTTGTTGTTGTCCGGGGGGCCAACAACGCAGTTTGATGCCCACGACTTTCCCTGATAAAAAACAAGGTGCGAGCCCCGGAAGGGGCACTTCAATTGAAAAATACAATGTCCGCCGGAGGGGGGATCAACAATAATTATTCTTCAGCAATTAGAGTTCAACAACAACAACAACAACAACAACAACAACAACAACAACAACAACAACAACAACAACAACAACAACAACAACAACAACAATCATTTAAGACTGGGGACACTCCGTTCTCACCAGTGCCAGGGTTTTCATAGGAGGCGGGCAATACCCCCACTTTGTGGGGGGGCCGGTTCAAGCTCTACCAAATTTCCAAACGACTCTTCGCCACCACCCACACCCAGCTTCCCGCCCTATGACGTTCGGACACTTCACTTCGTGGCATGCGGACGACCGTGGCTACTATTCAGGGCCCCGCGGCCGACGACGACGGCGTGCGCGCGCGAAGAAAAAACGAATGTGTCCCGCATGGTATTATTTGACAGGGATGATGGCCCTGGCAGGTGCGCAACCGTTGTCGCAGAAGTTCGAAAAAGTTGCTCGCAAAAGCCCGTTTGACAGAAATGTTTAAAAAGTGTTGGGTTTCCTACGAATCCGCAAGAGCGCGCGGGATGAGATTTTGACATTTTTTTGTTGAAAAACCATTGGTTTTTTGATGTTTTTATGTTAAAATCGCTCCGAACACTAAGCTTTTGGAAGGATTTCGTCTTGCGCGCGCGAATGTCCACTTTACCTTATTTTTTGCAAAGGATTCTTGAAATTTGATTATATCAACAACAACAACAACAACAACAGCAGCAACAACAACACCAACGACAACGACGACAAAAACAACACCACCAGCAACAACAACAACAACAAGAACCCGCATCGCGGAATTCCACTTCATCCACGCACCCAGGTTATGTTGCATCCTCGGGGAACCTTGTCTGTCCCGTCGCGGTCCTATCCGCGTCGAATCCGTGTCGAATCAATGTCGGACTCGTCGAACCCCTGTCGAATCCGTATTGAATACGCGTCGGATCCATGCCAAGTCCGTGTCGAATACGCATCAAGCCTGCGTCGGACACAAGAATAGACACCAATTTTTAGGACAGGCGAGGTCCCTCGAAGATGCAACGTAACCCAGGGACAGTGAATGACCGTTCGGTTCAGCCTCCTCCCTCTGATTTCTCTTTCCCACTGGGAGCGGTGTCTCAAGCCGTGGTGTTTCTGGGGGCACCCTTGGGGCCCGACAGACGGCCCCCGGGCACGCTGTCGGTCGAGCCCCTGGCCCAGACGTCCGACGACGTCACCGTGCCGAGGCAGGCCCCAGAATCTCGAGATATACCCTCCTCTCGGGGCTGTGTCGATCGTCCCGGCGGAGCGCTTGATAGCCCCAGGGCCCCGAAAGCAACCACGTCGTTCATGTCTCATCGTGCCCGTCTCTAATTGTTCCTGGCCCCCTAGTGGCCAGGAAGAGGCCCAGGATAGAACACTTAGGAATGGAAGGATCTTGGCCCCCCAAAAAAATCAAAGGACTTTCGAAGCATCAGAAATCAACAGTGTGCACACTTGGGACAAGCACCGGGACTGAAACCATCACCCCCTCGGAGATCTGGGGAGATCTCGGAACTGGGCAGTCCGAAGGAGGGCGGGTCAGTCTCGCCGGCGCGCCAGTCCCCGTCTGATTGTGAAGAAGGCGGCCACGTGCTAAACAACACATGAGCACATGGGCTCGACGAGCAGCCTCGGCGACGTGCCTGGGCCAGAGTGTGCGGACTGGGCTGCGCCTCGCCGTCACAGGTGCGCAACGGCCTCGCCGCCCCCGCCGCCCTCAGGGATGCCGGCCTGCTGGGACGCGCTGGTCCAGGGAAGCGGGCGCTGCGCTGCGAGCCTGGGCTGGCCACGCAGCAGCTCCCAGGTCCGGGACAGCGCAGGGCGCCGGCTGCACGCCAGAGCCGGCCACTCGCAGGAGCGGTTCTGCGCAGGCGAGGAGCGGCTCGTGGTGCGCGGCATGATGGGCCCCGGGGTGGGTGGGCGGGGTTCAATCCCGCAGGCCGGCGCCGAGGGCTGCCCCCTGCAGGCCCGCACCAAAGGTCACCCCGGCGAAGGGCCCCCAGCACGCGCAGCCGAAGGAGTGGTCTCAGGCGAGAGTGGCGCGAGGGGCCGCGGATGGACTCTCGACTCCGAGCGCGCCCGCCGGGGCTGGGGGGACCCCTATGGGCCAGGAGCACGGGTCGCTCCTCTTCCTCTTCTTCCTCCTGTGACGGCATTGGCTCCTCCTCCTCCTCCTCCTCCTCCTCCTCCTCTTCCCCCATGCCTTTTCATCATTTTGGCTCAAGCGATCGTATGGCTCTTCCTCGCGCCTCTCCGCGCGCGATGGCGGCGCCTAGAGGGGCTTTCGCGGCAGCGGACGGCGCGGCACTGGTTGCCGCTGCAGTTCGGGCCACGGCTGAGGCCAAGAGTCTTCGCCGCACGGTGGCGGCGGCAGCGCGCGCAGATTGCGCGGCCGTGGCGAACGCCTTGACCGAGCCGCCCGCGCCGCCGCCCACCGCCCGCGCCGAGGCTGCTCATGATGAAGATGCTGCGGCGCCAGCTCGCCCGCCTTCCGAGGCGAAGCTGGCGCGGCGCACGCGCCGCCGTCAGGCCCTGGCGGCCAGGCGGCGGGCGACGGCGGCTGGTGTTGCTGGAGCTGCAGGCGCGCCCGCGCCCGCGGCGGAGGCAGCAGCGGACGCCATGTTCGTGGAGGCGGAGACCTCGTCGCTCGACGACGCCTGGGCTGATGCGCCTACCTGCCAGTCGGCGCGGCGGTGGCCTCGTGTGTGGCAACTGGTGCTGCCGGGGGCGTGGCGGCGGGTGCTGCTGGCCCTGGGGAGGGTGCTGCCGCGGCGGAGGCGGAGCCAGTTTCTGGCGGAGCTGTCGCCGCGGGCATGCGCGAAGTGGGAGAGCAGGACGAGCGCGCGGCGGTGCTCGCCGAGCTCGTGGACTGGTTCTCCGACCCGTCCGCTACCGAGAGCCTCTCCTTCCTCACGCTCGCCCAGCTGCGCGCCGTCGCGGTGCAAAAGCAGAAGGTGACGTGAGCGCTGGCCCCCGTGGGCCCCGCGGGCAGCACGTTTGCGGCACTGGGCGCGGCTGCTGTCCCGTGGGTGATCCCTCGGCGGCCCTTCCTCGGCGGTCGGCGGCACGTGTGCGCCACTGTGCGCGGTTGCCGTGCGGCCGTCGAGGCTCCATATCCCGAGACGGCTTCGTGATGCACCTGGCCGCTCTCTGCATTGCTGCATTGCCCCATGCCTTTTCCTTATAAGCAAAATGTTCTCCCTGTCATACCCCGAGGCCACTTTTTAGGGCGGACCAGGCGTTTTGCCTGAGACTTCCTCACCACGTATGACTCTGAAGCTTAAACATTGGCAACGGCTTCGCAGGTGGAGGGCGGGTCGTTTTCCAAATGTGGCTCTCGCCTTGGCGCCGCGTGCATTCGCTCTGCGAGTGTGCAAGAGCTTCACGGATTGAGGGCGAGTGGCTTTCAAAATGCGGCTCTCGCCTCAGTGCCGCGCACGAACATGTGAACGAGTTTCACGGATTGGAGGCGAGTGGTTTCAAAATGTTGCTCTCGCCTTAGCGCCGCGCACATTCGTTCAAATAATTACAAGAGCTTCACGGATTGAGGGCGGTTCCTTTTCAAGATGTGGCTCTCGCCTCAGCGCCGCGCAAGAGCGTTTATATATATATATATATATACACATACAGATGTAAATAAAACTCGTTGCAACAGTTTCACGGGTTCCCATGATCAACGTACCCCAAATGATGTTTTGGAAGAATTCAGGGTTATACGGGTGCAATTGTTACGTCGATTCGCGTGTGGAAGTCCCAGGAATGGCGTTCTGGTGCGATTCCGGATCGTCAATACGCAATAGTCAGGTTGATCCGTGGCGCTGGAATCCCAAGAACAATGCTTATGCATGCTCCATGGTCTTTAAACGGTTGTCTTCCAGCGAGGCAGTTCCCTCAATGGAAATGAGCAATTATAGTATAGGGGCCTATGAAGAGGGAGCTTGGAGGGAGGGTGTATTCCAACATCGTTGATGACTCTTGGGTTTACACTGGTCCTCCTCCTTCTCCTCCTCCTCCTCCTCCCCCTCCTCCTCCTCCTCCTCCTCCGCCTCCGCCGCCTCCTCCTCCACCCCTTCCTCCACCTCCGCCGCCTCCTCGTCCTTCTCCTCCTCCTCCTCCTCCTCCTGAGCCAGGGCCCAGCCACCTCTGTTGTAGACTGTGCGTGCCTTCGCGCGAATACACGTATACCAAGGGGTGTGGGGGTCAGCTCAGCATGCCCCCCGAACACGGGGCAGCCAGAGTGGATCCAAAGGGATGGGCAGAGCCGACCCCCCGTACCACGCCGAGCGCTGTGGCCCTGCTGCGGCCCTCACCGATCGGCCTGGCTCGCAAAACTGCCGCAGAGGGAGGCGATGTCGAGGGCTCCAGTCGCGTTTTTGCTTATGTTCAAGCCGTTGCGCCTTCTGCGCGACGTCGGACAGAGGGGAGCAACCCTGGAAGGACCCGAAGAACAGCGAGCCCCTTCCAATACCATATCGTTACTTATTCTAAGATTGTTACTCATTTAAATCAGTAGAACTATGGTGTTGGAAAAGGGCTCAGTTATTATAAACGTCTTGACTACAGGGCTCACCCACCACGGTCCCTGACATGTGCCGATCTGGTATTCTCAATGCGCGGCCTCAGAGGTCCCGACCCCTTCCTCCGGGGCCAGTTTTGCAATTCAAGGGGCCGGTTTGGTGGTCCACGGGCTTGATAGCGTGCCCCAGAAGCCGAAATCGAGGAAGACCAGATCGTCGGACATCTGGGACGTTGCCCCTGACCACTCTATCGCCGCCCGATGCCGCTTCTCCACGGACCTCCCCTGGAGCGCGTTCTGACCAGAATCTTGGGGAGAATCCAGTCGTCGAACCCTTGGGGATCATCGGCGTGTGAGACGCTTCCCCCTCCCCAAACCCCTCCCCCAGGAGCCCGGTCCGGTCGATTTGAAGGGGGGGCGGGCCCGTCCGGCCAAAGCTCATCAGGGGGGTCCGGCCCTTCCCGGGCCCCTTTCGGAGGTCCACGACAGCTTTTGGGGCCGCCCAAGAGGCCCCAAAGACGGTCCAAGAGAGCCCCGAGACGCCGAAAGCTCGTTCCAAGACGCCTAACATGGGCCGAAAGATCGTTCCAAGACGCCTAACATAGGCCGAAGACGGCCCAAGAGGCCGCCAAGACGTTCCAAGAGGCCTCCCAGGAGGCCTCCAAGAGGTCAATATCTTCAAGTTCCCTTAGGAAAACGTGCATTTCTTCTCGCACATACGGATTTTCCGCCTTCACAGCGCGGAAGCCCTGCCAAGATGCCTCCAAGACCGACACGTGCTCCGGACGTGCACCCCGTGCAGCGAGAGGGATCTTGGGGAGACTCCAGCCGTGGCGGCGAGGGCCTCCCAGGGCCCCCCCGAGAGGCCCAAACGAGGGCAGGGCAGCGGTATCGATACTTCGCCCCCTGGAGCACGGCAGCGGCGACGGCGGAGCAGCGACGCAGCGACGCAGCGACGCAGCGACGACGACGACGACGACGATGACGACGGAGCAACGTCGACGGAGCAACGACGACGGAGCAAAAACGACGGAGCGACGACGACGGAGCGACGACGACGGAGCAACGACGACGCAGCGACGACGACGACGACGACGGAGCGACGACGACGGAGCGACGACGACGACGACGACGCCCGCGGCCGCCAACCACGCTACGGCCCGGTTTCGTTCCACGGCCACCGCTGCGTCCCGCCGGGCTTCGCGTCCGAGCCGCGCTCGGGAAGGCTATGCGACGGCGGCGGCGCTCCTCGCGCGCGCGGTGCCGCCGCGGGGAGCGGCTGGTGGGCGGCGGGGGCAGAGGAGCCGAGGCGGGGGAGCTGGCCCAGGGGGGGGTGGGAGGCGAGGTGAGGAGGCTAGAGGTTCGAGGTTTGGCGGTTCGAGGTTCGAGGTTAGAGGAGCGTCGGTTCTCGGCGGCTCTCCAGCCTCGGGAGGCATCTCGGCGGCAGCGCCTCGCCGAGAGCGCCCCGGGGGGGGGCCCAGATCGCCCCGAAGAGCCGTCGGAGGCCTGAGCTACGACTCGAGCACCACGCGAGAGAAGGCAGCGGAGAGGGGGGTGGGGGCCGTGGGCGGCGGAGCAGATGAAGAGAGGAGGAGCCCAGAACTTCGACGATGTGATTTTGCTCGGTCTCGGAATTTTCCCCGACTTCGTCCTGCGTGGCGAGGCGGAGATTCATCCAGATCCACCGCCTGGGAACCGCTGTCCAGGTGCTCCAGCGGGACGTGGATATGGATATGTTTTGGCCCTCGGGGGCCAGAATCTATCCGTATCCACCGCCTGTGGAGGTCCGCGGAGATCGATCCCTCAGGCGCTGTTTATGTCTAAATTCCCGCCTCGGGTCCGTGGTCCGCTATCGAGCCCCCGGGGCCGTCAAGAACGAATCTGAGACGAAAAACTGTCCCCAGGGAGGGGGTCGGGACCCCTGGGGCCGCGGATGGCGATAGTCAGGTTGGAGGATGTCTGGGAGAGGAGGGGGGGGGGGGGGAATTTTTCCAGTGCGCCGCGGCAGCCCAGGCTGGTCGTGAAGAACCTGCTGGGATTGGACTGGGGGTCAGGGGCACCGGCGGGGCACCGGTAGAAGGGGGGATAGCCTCAGTGGTCGACGCAACGACCCTCAAGCGCCCCTTGATCGCCGATAGGGGCCCGATATCCCAGCACGCCCACGCCCAGGACCGTGCGGTTTGGCTATCGGGGGCCTATCGCTGATCTATTGGCGATGCATCGCCGATTACAAGTCGATGTTCCACCCCCCCCCCTGTAGTCCCCCCCTCTGAAGGAAAGATTGGATTCAGCCTCGGCACAGCTGGAAACTGTCTTAGAGGGCCTCAGGCACTGACACGCCGATCTACCCGCGATGTATCGCCGATTCCAGGTCGATGGTTCCCCTCCCCCGGTCGCCCCCCCCACCCCCCGCCTCTGGAGAGGGATGGGATTCGGCCTTGGCCCAGCTGGAGACGGTCTTGAAGGGCGGCAGGCCATTGCGCCTCTCTGCAGCATGTGGCCCGAGGGAAGCCTGCGGCGCAGGGCTCCTGCAGACGGTCTGGGGCGAGTTTCTGCCGGAGAGATCCTCCTCCTCCTCCTCCTCCTCCTCCTCCTCCTCCTCCTCCTCCTCCGCCTCCGGCTCCGCCTCCGCCTCTGCCTCCCCCTCCTCCTCCTCCTCCTCCTCCTCCTCCTCCTCCTCCTCCTCCTCCTCCTCCCCTCCTCCTCCTCCTCCTCCTCCTCCTCCTCCCTCCTCCCTCCTCCTCCGCGAGGAGGCGGCGGGAGATGGAGAGCCGCGGGGGGGAAGTAGGGGGAAGAAGTCCTTTTGCTTTGTCCTCACGCCCTCGTGGCTTCGCCAGGGAAACATGCATCGATCCTGGGCCCAGCAGGAGCCCAGCCGGGATCGGTGTGTGCGTGTGTGTGTGTGTGTGTGTGTGTGTGTGTGTGTGTGTGTGTGTGTGTGTGTGTGTGTGTGTGTGTGTGTGTGTGTGTGTGTGTGTGTGTGTGTGTGTGTGTGTGTAGGTCCGTGCTTCTCGTCGCCCGACGCAAGGGTGATTGTTGGAAGTCTATTGGTTTGTAGGTCCCCACGCCCATGGAGAAAACAACCACTAAACACAGGTTACCCTACTGAAGCACGGTGGCTGACAAGCCCCACCGTGAGATTCGGGGGACATCCCCACCATCGTCCCGACTGTTCCTGAACCAGGTTCCAACTCCACTGAAGTGGGAGCACGAGGAGGAGGAGGAGGAGGAGGAGGAGGACCAATGGAAACCCAAGAGACATCAACGATGGTGGAATTCACCCTGCCTCTAAGCTCCCTCTTCAGAGGCCCCTACAACGGTTCATTTCCATTGAAGATCCTGAAGCGTGCCGAAAAAATGTTCTGGGGATTTCAACGCCACGTATCAACCTGACTGCTGCGTCTTGACGATCAAGAATCGTGCTAGAACGCCGTTTTGGGTACTTCAACAAACACACCTGTTGCGCCCGCAGAATCCAGAACCCTTCCAAGACATCATGTCTGGTACGTTGATCGCTGACATCCGTGGAACTCCTGCAAATGTTAAAAACGAATGTGCACGGCCCTAAAGCGACAGCCACATGTTGAAAAGGAACCACCCTCAATCCAGGAAGCTCTTGAAAGTGTTTAAAACGAATGCGCGCGGCGCTAAGGCGAGAACCACATTTTGAAAACCACCCGCCCTCAATCCTGGAAACTCTTGCAAATGTTTAAAACGAGTGTGCGCGGCGCCAAGGCGAGAGCCACATTTGGAAAACGACCCGCCCTCCACCTGCGAAGCCGTTGCCAATGTTTAAGCTTCAGAGTCATACGTGGTGAGGAAGTCTCAGGCAAAACGCCTGGTCCGCCCTAAAAAGTGGCCTCGGGGTATGACAGGGAGAACATTTTGCTTATAAGGAAAAGGCATGGGGCAATGCAGCAATGCAGAGAGCGGCCAGGTGCATCACGAAGCCGTCTCGGGATATGGAGCCTCGACGGCCGCACGGCAACCGCGCACAGTGGCGCACACGTGCCGCCGACCGCCGAGGAAGGGCCGCCGAGGGATCACCCACGGGACAGCAGCCGCGCCCAGTGAAGCTGTTGTGGCTTTTAAGCTTCAGAATCATAAATGGTGAGGACGTCTCGGCCAAACGCCCGGCCCGCCCAAAAAACTGGCCTCGGGGTGCGACAGGGAGGAGTTATCTATACGGAAAAGGAAAGGAGGAGGAGGAGAAGGAGGAGGAGGAGGAGGAGCAGGAGGAGCAGCACGAGGAGGGGGAGGAGGACGATGAGCGGTTTGCCTCCCCCTGGGCCACCTCACCTCGTCGAACTCCCTCCGCCATGCGTTCCTTCCCGCCTCTACACCCGAGAGGTACCTTCCGCCGCTGACGATTGCCAGGGGTCCAGGGCTGCAGCGTTTGGATCAACCGACATCATCTGTTGATGGGCAACGATGGCGGCGGGATCAGCTCAAGGAGGGAAACATCGACCTGGAATCGGGGATCCATCGCCGATAGATCGGCGATAGGACCCCGATCGCCAAACGTGACGGTCCTGGGCGGGGTGGGCTATCGGGCCCCTGTCGGCGATGACTGGGCGGTTGTGGGTCGGCGCATTTCCCTCTGAGCCTCCCCCCATAACGTTGCTCATGATCTGTACGTGACGCTGCGAGGATCGGCTGCATACAAGAGTGACAAGTGAACCCTATGTAGGCAAGAGCGACCTCTGGCAAGGGCAGAGGTGTGACGGCAGCGGCCTGCGCACTGGGGCCTGCCACCCCCTCCCCCGCACACCTTCCGAAAGGCGCGCACCGAATTTCACTCTGACAACGACGACGACGACCAGGACGAAGACCAAGACGAAGACCAAGACGCCGACGCATACGCCGACGCCGACGCCGACGCCGCCGCCGCCGCCGCCGACGACGACGCGCTCCAAAAGATACTGACATTGCTATACCTTGGCCAAAATCTCGATGAGAATTCCAGCCGTGGCGACGAGGGAGGAGGGTCCCTTGGCTTCCGGGGCATAGTTTGGGTCTCCAGCGGTCGTTCGGGACGATTCAGGCAACCTCGGAACGCCTGCAGCGAGGGGCAGCTACTGGAACGTATCCGAGGAGGCAGGAGAAACCTGCAGGAACAGAAGAAGACGTCCGAAAGCAGCACCTGTGGAGCACAAAGCAGCGAGGAGCCTTTCATCCCGGTCACTGGAAGCCCTAAACTGGGAGCCCACAAACAGTGCTGTGCAAGTCCGTGCGGTGACCTCGAACCCCCTCACGACCTCACCGCACGGTCGCACGGTCCGTCACCGCACGGTCCTGGGACCCCAGAGGCCCTGGTCGCCCGAGACATCCTCGGAGGACGACTCGAATCTCAAAACCGTGTCACCGCGAATCCCCACTGACCCACCACACGCTTATCGTTTATAGTAGCGTCAGCGTTTTCTTATTCGGCGTTTCGACATTGGGCGGAAGAAGGGGTGGGAGGGGGGGTGTCTGGCTCCAGACCTCTGCTTAATGCAATTGTTTGCAACCGTGCGTCCTATGGGGGGAAGCTCCACCTGCCTGAAACAGGCGCCAAGAACAGCCAAGATCTATTCTATGGGGGGGAGGAGGGGGTGCGAGTGCCCGTGCCGATCGGCAAAACAGCGAATAAAAAGACGACGACAATCCCCACTGGCCCACCACACGGTTATCGGCTATGGTCACCCCAACCGCTTGGGGACACCCGATCGAAGCGGCACGGCGGGCCCTCTCCCCCGGGAGCCCCGCTTCCCTCCGGTCTGGGCCGGCCTCATCGAGCGGCCACCCTCCTCGGAGGCCCCAACCGATCCTGCCGGGCTCCGTACATCTCCCCCCTCCTCCCCCCTCCTCCACCCCCCCTCCTTCCCCCCCCCCTCCTTCCCCCTCCTCCCCTCCTCCTTCCCCTCCTTCCCCTCTCCCCACCCTCTTCCTCCTCCTCCTCCTCCTCCTCCTCCTCCTCCTCTTCCACATCCTCCTCCTCCTCCTCCTCCTCCTTCTCCTCCTCCTCCTCCTCCTCCTCCTCCTCCTCCTAGATAAGAAAGGTAAGCTCGGAGGAAAATCGACTAGACACGCCCAGCAAGAAGCTGTGCTGCCAACGGGCGAGCCACGACAGCTTCTTGTCCCCCGATGGGCGTGCGGGGCCCCGGCGCACCTCACGAACTGCAGGGCCGATGACAGATGCGCAGGCGACGGTTTCGCAGATCGTGGCCCCCCAGGGATGGCGAGGTAGGTCTGAGACAAGCTGGCACGCAGAAACAGACGAGGTAAGAGGCAGGAGAGTGGAGACAGAGGGCGGGAGGAGGAGGAGGCGGAGGTGGTGGAGACCGCAGTGCTCTACTCAAAACAAGTACCCAACGCAAAAGGTCTGGGGAACAAATCCACTGCGACGAGCCTGAAAACGCTGACACAATAAGACAACAACACGTAAACAAACGTATCTGCGGTTCCAATTTTTTCAGAGCCCAGAATGCAAAACGGTAGCAAAAACGCCCAAGGCGCTTTGAAGAAGAACCAAGCCAAAGCCTCGCGAAAAGAGGATTGCACCCCGATCCTGCGTCCGCTGGGTGGTCCAGCAGCGCAAGCTGCGAAGGCGGTTCCTTCTGCTTGGTCTTGCTGCCGCTGCCCCCGCCGCCATGCCCGCTGGTGTACCTCGGCGCCGAGGGGCCACGAACGATTGCCTCTTGCGTGCTTTCTTGCTCCTCTGTCACCATCCGCTGAAGATCAACAGCTCTTCTCCGACCACCGCCGCATTCTAAAAGTGAAGGGGCCCCAGGACACACAAATAAATACACACACAAATAAAAGGGATTCCCCATATTTTCCTGTATGTTTGGGGGTGTTGTTTTCATATTTTTTTGTATTTTTGGGGGAAATCGACGATTAATTGGGGCTGCATGTTTTTCTCCCTCCTGACAAAGGCCTGGCGGCCAACCGCAGAAGCACCTCCGAGAGCCAGGGTCAGGGACCCGAGCGATGGGAAGGGGGGGCAGGGGGGCCCCAGCAGGTGGCGAGGCCAATGTGCCCGGGGGCCCGAAGTTCTGCACCCCAGCGCCCTCGGCCGTGCGACTCCCAGGGCAATGAACCGCAGATGCTCGGGCTGGGCGAAAGGGGGGGATAGCAAAGGGAGAGTTGAGAATCAGCTCACGTAGCTGCTTTTCCCGGCGCCTCCCAGCGCCGGAAGGCGCCGATATATCGAGGAATGGGCCTGGCGGCGGGGCCGAAACCAGCTGCATGCAGCAGATTTCGTAACCCCCCCTTTCCCTATCCCCCCCTTTCGTTCGGCCCCAGATGTGGGATGGACAACTGCCTCCTGAAAAGGGGTCGCAGATTGGAACAAGCATTGGGTCGGGCATGTTCCCCTGCAGGCGGATCTGGGGCGCAACATTAAAAGCAGTAGAAACAGATTCCAAAATGCTCAGGAATAGGTGAAAAAATCGTCCCGAGACTATCTTTTTACTATTTTTGAATGTTCCTCCTGTAGAGGGACAGGCCTGACTCAAAACAAGCACGCTGGGTGCCTGCCTGGGAAGGACCTGTGGGATTCGGGACTTCGGGCCACAGGAGGGCCCAAGCAGACAGCACAGTCAACCGAAGGGAGCTGCCCGCGCGGCACCCACGTGTCTCTTGTGTCTGGTCGCCGCCTGGGACTCGGGACCGGGTTTGCTTCGTGCTAATAATGGCAACAGCGGCACCGAAGTACTGCAAATTCCTGTCGTGGCCTCCAAGCGTGACGGTAGCATCAGCGCAACAGTGACTGACCTCACAAAGTTAAACGTAAAGCGAAACAGCGAGTGCGAGCAATAATCCAATGAACATATGAATCATATAGTTCTTGGTCCCCGTGGCTGATGGTCTGTAGCTATGTTCCGGCATTGGCGGGTCACTGCACACACTTCCGCCCAAACACAAGGGTTTTCAAACTCCACCTGCGGAGGGACCGATATGAATCTCGCAATGCAACACACAATCCGAATGGTTCTGCATCACCAAAAGCAGTCAACACGCAAATCGACAGACATCGGAATGCAAATCACATTGCACTCGAACATCGAATCGGAATGCCACTGTGAATACCAACAATATTGCAATCGGAAGGCAGATCGAAATCGAAATCCCAATCGAAATGCACATCGAAACGCAATCGACATGCAAACCCAGCTGCATTCGAGATGCAAGTCGAGATACAACTCCAGTTGCAATCGAAATGCAATTCGAAATCCATGAGTCTCACAAACACACACATACAAGCCCAACCTCTTTACCACTCTAAGTCCTAAGTGTGGTCTACTATGTGCACAAGCATACTAACTTGTTCCACGTTGCTAACTACGGACTTCTACGCCGTCTTCAAATGACTTCCTCTTTCCCATGGGACAACTCACGGGACAACCCCACCCCTGCCATGTCGGCTTTGGCCACTTCTGGCATCGGCATCGACTTGGTTCCCCGACCTAGATGCAAGGGACGGCCCCACAAAACAAGATCTCTCCTGAGTCCCGAGGGGCATGTATTTCAGCGCTACGGCTATACGAAGAAAACGGGTGCGATGCCCAACAGCACATGCCGTCCCGAATGGACGGAGACCGCGGTTGGGCAGGCGACTTGCTGCACCAAGTGAACAAAGCTCGCGGTGACACCCAGCGAACCCTGCTCAAGGTGGACAAGAACTGCTGCAAGTCTCGGGGATCTACTGACCCCGGCCAATCCAAGCCCGGGTCAGCTGGGCTCTGCAGGATCCCGCAAGGTCCTGCAGGATCCTGCAAGATCCTGCGCGCAAGCCTGGGTCAATGCGCCTCTGGCGTTGCAGGATCCTGCAAGATCCGGCGCTCTGGCTGACCCCCGTTTGCACTAACCCCCGTCTCAAGAAGGCTACTGGAAGTCCTCGATCCTATTCTTTCCGTCTAATCTCTGGGTGAGCCGCAAAAAACACCGATCTCGCAATTCCCTGGGCCTCTCCCCGGAAGCGCTCTGATCAAGATTTCGAGGCGAACCCAGCCCTGGCGACGAGGGAGGGACAACGGCATTGGTATCCCCAGACGCCCGCCGATGTGATTGCTTCAACCCCAGCCCCAGAAAATCCCGACTTTCCTAAGGGTGGTTGTCCGTCCCGGATTCCTAAGGGTGTGTGCTCCCCGGGGCAGACATCGATGAAGAACGCTCGCGCTGCAAAAGTCGTATCGTCGGAGATCTGTCGGTAGCTTCTCCTCCTCCTCCTCCTCCTCCTCCTCCTCCTCCTCCTCCTCGATCCTCCTCCTCCTCGATCCTCGATCCCCGACCCTCGATCCTCCCTCGATCCTCCTCAGACACCCCTTACCTGGCTCGCCCTCCCTCGCCTGGGACCCTGGGGAGCCCGTGTGCTTCGTCGGCCCCCTGGGAGGGGTGCCTCCTCAGCCGCGTGCCTGTCCCAGGAGAAGCTGCCCCGAGAGGGGCGGCGCGGCCCCCCTCCTGCGAGAGCCGGGGCCGCCGGCAATGCCGGCGGCCTCGCAGGAGAGCTCCCGCACGGCGCCCTCGAGCTCTCACCGGCGATGGCTCCGATCGGGCGCCGGACCTCCGCGAGCTCCCCGCCCCGATCCTGGTCCTCCTCCGCCTCCCGGCCCTCCCGACCCCCACCCCGATCCGCGGACCTCCCGGCCCTCCCGACCCGCCGCCGCGACGGGCAGGCTCTGGGCTCCTGCCCGCGGCGCCGCGGGGCGGCTGCGGCGGCCCCGGGCCGCCGACACCGCCGCGGGGCCCAGAGGGAGAGGGCACCACCAGTCCCAGCACTCCTCGGGGAAGAGGTGAAAGTCGCGGGCTCGCACCGCGAGGGGCTCGAGGTATGCACCACGTCGGCCGGTCGGCCAAGGGGCTCAGTGTATGGACGCCGCAGCTGTCCAGCCCGTGGGACGCTGGAGCGTGTGTACACCGGACTCCTTCGCCGACCTCCCTGGCTCCCTGGCGGACCAAAAGACGTGGTGTAGACGTCGAGACCCTCCGACGCACAAGGGGGTGACGAAGGGGGGGCCTCCTAGAAGCCGTCCCAGCTTCTTAGAGGTATTCCTTCTTAGAAGCCTCCAGCTCAGAAGGCAGGGGGCCTCAGAAGCCGTCCCAATTTCTTAGAAGCACTGCTTCTTAGAAGCCTCCAGGGTCTTCCAATACGTAGCCGCCTTATTAGTCGAACGCGCCGCAAAAAAAGCTCCAGCCCCTCCGAGAGGTTATGTTGTTCAATGCAGTCCTTCTCCCCTCGACGTCTGGGGCTCCAGGATCGAAGCTTTCGGGCGTGTTGTGGCCTCGGGGCCTCCTGGGACGTTCTCGCCACCACGGTGGGAGTCCCGTCGAAAATCTGGTCACAACGCACCCCAGGCGGCCAGTTGCGAGGGCAGATTGTGACCCCATTCCTGGAGAGCGCGTGTGCTCAGACCTCCGAGGGATCGATGCCTCAATTCGGCCGGTTCCCATCGAACTGGGCCGTCGTGGACAACCTTCGCGCCCTGGGGCAGTCCGCAAAAAGGCCCGGGCTACACAGCACCACCTGGAAAAGGTGGTAGGGAGATCTGGAGCCGCGGATAGCAGCAGCTGTCGCAGGCCTAAGAAGGTTGACACCAGCACCAAGATCGTCGGTGTGCCCTCACCGAGGGAAGACGATCCCGATCTCGGCGATGGTGGTAATATTCTGGCTTCCAAGATTACCTAAATATTACTACCAACACCGAAATCTAGGATCATCTTCCCCATGTGGAGGCAGCCCCCCTGTGTTGGTGTTGGTGTCCACTTGCCATCGCTCGGACGTCCCTTCCCCGTGCATTTATAGTTTTTTGCGCGTGGTTTTTTGCTCGATGGTCCAGGATGCTCCTAAATGGTCCCCGCCGAGAAAAAACGCACACGTCACAGCGATGCCACGTCCATCTCCCAGGCCTCCAAACATGAGGTCCTCGGAGGTCCGGGAAAACGCCGTGCGGATGGCCTGCCGAGGTCCACGCGGGCCTTGTGCGCGTGCCGGTGCCCCCCGCGCCGCCCCCCGGCGTGCCTCTCGACCGCGCCCGGGTGGCGTGGGGATCTGGCGGGGCTGGACCGAAACGTTGTTTTTCGTGTGGTTGTCGTTCTTCTTTTTCTCGTTTTGCTCTGCCTGTTTTCTGGAACCTTCCCTGCCAAGAACGAAAAAGAAAACAAGACGCAGCCGAGGTCCAGCAGAACACCGGAGCGGGCCCGGGAAGTCCGCGCCGCCCTCTCGAAGCTCTGTCCGAGTGGCTGCCTGCCCACTTTGGCTCGTGGCAGCGCGCACGCAGGAGTGCTCCTCCTCCTCCTCCTCCTCCTCCTCGTCCTCGTCCTCGTCCTCGTCTTTGTCCTCCTCGTCCTTCCCCGCCCTACCCCAAAAGACCCAGCAAGGAGCCCCCAGAAATCATCCGAGGCTGGGCGCGACGACCGCGCCGAGCTCGCCGCTCGGGAGGGGCCGTGGGCGCTCTTGCGCTGTCAGGCTGTAGGCGCTCGCCGCCTTCGGCGAAGCGCGGCGAGGGACCACGGGCCACCGATGCCGGGCTCCGGGGGGCGAAGTCCAGGAAGCACGCCCGCATTGCACGACTCGCATCGTCGCTAATGGTGATACGAATGCGAATGCAACTACGACTATCAATACTCGTACTAGTATCCATGCTAGATATAAGATGGCTCGTAAGAGTAATCATACTAAAACGAGAACTAGCGAGAAAAAGACACACAAGAGGGATAAGAAGAAGCCGTCGACCAGACCCACGAGGACTTGGACGACCGCGACTGAGTGGACGACCCCTAGGGCCAGGTCGGGGGAAGTGGCGGCCTTCGAGAGGTCACTGAACCGATCTTGCAGACGTGATCCAGCGGATTTTTGCGTGGATTCCTGTCCATACAAAACCCCGAAACGGCGAGCGAAAAACGAAGTGAATTTCACGTGAAATTATTTTTAGTCTTCCTTCCTGGCAAAAGAATCCGCACAACGTTCGCTTCGAAATCTGGAACGACGTTCTCCAGGACACTCCGTGCCCATCTTTTTGTTTTCCGAACGGAATCCGCTCTGCGATGTTGGCGCCATGAATGAGTATCGTCTAACCGAACTCCATCCCCAGCGGCGTGGCCTGGGCCCCACTGGCCGACTTGCCCCCCTAAAATGGGGATAGGGGTCGTCCTCTGCGGCTTTCGAGGGGCGTGTCCCCCACTGGGGTGGTCATTTGGTGGGGGTCTCGAAGGGGCTGGGAACACGTCGGTCGGAAGAAGTAGGTAGACACATGAGGTAGGAAGGCGGATCAAGTTGACTGGGTCCAGGCCCCCCCAGGGAACCACAAAACACGGCAAAAGCGTGCCGATTCTTGAACTAGGAAAGCGCTTGAAGTAGATTGGGATCTGGGAATCCATGAAGACGGCCGTGGCCCTCTGGAGGAGGCCGCGCCCCCAGCCCCCTCCAGAGGCCGCCCTCGCCCCCTCCTTCTCCTCCTCCTCCTCCTCCTCCTCCTCCTCCTGCTCCTGCTCCTCCTCCTGCTCCTGCTCCTCCTCCTCCTCCTCCTCCTCCTCCTCCTGCTTTTTCCTCCTCCTCCTCCTCCTCCTCCTCCTCCTCCTCCTCCTCCTCCTCCTCCTCCCTCCTCCCTCCTCCTCCACCTCCTCCTCCTCCTCCCTCCTGCCCAGCCTCCTCCGGAGGCCGCCCTCGTACGGCGAGCCCCCTCCGAACGCCGCCGCCGACGCCGCGTGCAGCGAAGGGGCCGCGGAGCCGGGGTGGTGAGGGGGGGCCCTGGGCCGCCAGGGCCTTCCCGAGGGCTGTGCTGCTCCCCTCGTGCTCAGGGCTAAGTCGGGCCTGTCCCCCGACAGGGGGATCTTCGACGAAACATAGAAGAACCTTCAACAAATACTCCAAAGATGCCCCCCAAATGCGCAAAACATAGTCCCCATACTATGTTTTGACTATTTTGGGATGTTCCCCCTGTAGAGGGACAGGCCCGACGTAAGCTCAGGGACCACGTCCCAACAAGACAGCTTCGAGCACCCAGACAAAGTACCGAAGCAGCGGTCGAGCGAGCACCGCCTCCCCGGGGCCCGCCGCGCGAAGGCCCTCCCGCTTTGGTCGGGTCGGGCGAAAGGGGGGGATAGCAAAGGGGGGGGGTGAGAATCAGCTCACGTAGCTGCTTTTCCCGGCGCCTCCCGGCGCCGGAAGCGGCTATGTATCGAGGAATGGGCCCCTCGGTGAGGCCGAAACCAGCTGCATGCAGCAAATTTCGTACCCCCCCCTTTCCCAATCCCCCCCTTTCGCCCGGCCCGATTTGGGTGCTTCCTTGGTGCTCGGGATTCTTGCTGGTGGTCGAGGCCAAAGTCCTTATATGTTCCATCTGTTCTGGGGAATCGACGATGAATTGTGTCTGTATGGCTTTTCCCCCTCCTGACATAGCCCGAGGGCGAGAGCAAGCGGTTCCACCGACAGCAGCCAGGACAGGCAGATCGAAAAATCCGCTGTCTCTCGGGCAGGGCTATCCCAGGTGCAGGGCTTCGCGGACGAACGAGCCTGGTGAGACACGTGCCCCGCCAGTCGAAGAACGGACAAGTCGGATCGCTCTCGTCCTTCCTTAGGACGAGAACGATGTCATGATACGATTGGCTCAGGATGCGTTGCAGGAATTCTTGGGCATCTAGTGAGCCTCGGTTCTGCAGCCCGCGCGGAACATTAGGAACTGAGGCGGATCCTGAAAAGCTTGAAACTCATGATTATCACGAGCTCTCGCTCCTCCGATTTCCCAGGGCCGACTCTTCATCGCGATGACGTCTGTGACGGCTCTGGAGCCCAGGAGGTGCCCTGGGGGAGCTGGAAGAGGGTCAACAGTCCTGTCGCTTCGAGCGATCCTCACCCGAGAAATGCGAGGAAGGATGCTCAGAGGGAGCACCAGGCTTGGGGCCCGGCGGCTCCGGCACTCAGGGTGCGCAAAGCGGGTAGGGAACTTTTTTCTTCCATCTAACAGCCCCAACCTGTCGGGAGGGGAGAAGCTCCAGGAGCCCTGCACCGGCAGTGCGCACAGGGGGGGTATAGGGGGAGGGGAAGGCTTCCAAAAAAGAGTCTGCTTCTCAGATGGCGCCAACCTAACATCTGGAGACGAGTCCCGCGGCTTCTGAGGAGCCTCCCCCCCTCCCCCTGCCCCGCGCGTGGCCGACTGTATCGGCCACGCGAACATAAGAGTGACCTTTCGTGCGCGGCCTCCGGGGGCCGCGAAGGAGGCCAAATGCAAGCCGGCCGGCTGGGTGCTGCTGGGGGGCCCCGGGAGCCCGCACCAGAGGCCCCTCCGGCGACGGGCCCCTCCTGAGTGCGGTCGACGGCACCCCTCCACCGGGCACGACGCTTCTGCGTGCCGGCGCTCCTCGCAGTAGCTCACTTTTTTCCACTTGCCCGTCGCGGGGGGGCGGTAGTCGCCCACGAGCTTGTGGCAGTACGAGCACCTCCGCTGCCCGTCCGCGGCCTCCGGCTCCGCCGCGTCCGCGCTGCCGCCCGCGGGCCTGCGGCTGCGCGCGCGCGCCGCTCTCCTCCGCCGAGGGTGGGTCTCGGTGGCCCCTGGAGGCCGCCCGCCAGGGGGTCCCGAAGACACGAGATTTCTCCAACGGCGTGCTGCTTCAGTCCGGGCGGGCCTCCTCGATCTCGGCCGTCGGGGGCCCGGTTTTGTCCGGCCCGGAGGCCCGCGAGAATCAGAAACGGATTCGAGGCGAACAAAAAGGTCGGCCCCAAGGCGGAAGAGGTCGGGGCCATCTGGGTCTCGCCGTCGTATTGCCGCCATCGCAATCCCGTCGCCGCCTCGTCGCCGCCCGTCGTCTGGGCTCGTTTGTCGGGTCCACCGCCCTGTTGCCACGTCGCAGCCCCATCGCAGCCGGGACCTCTGGGGCAGCGCGTTCAGCAAAATCGTATTGGCGGATGTCTGGGGAGGATGGCCCACACCTCTGACGCGGTGGGCGAGCAGGGCGGATGCCCTGCGCCGTTCTCGGCGTGCTGGGGCCGCCGTTCCAAAGCCTGCGATGCCCTACGCTGCTATGTCCTTTTCGCGCTCCTCTGCGTCTGCACTGCTCTGCGCTGATCTGCGCTGCTTGATTCTGGCTGCGTTGCCCTGCGATCCGTGCGTTGCTTGCACTGCCTTGCGTTGCTCCACGTTGCTTCGCTCTGCTTGGCATTGCTCTGCATTGCCCTCCGCTGCGATGCATTCAGCACCCTGCTTGTGCTGTAGATAATATGTCCTGCTTTGCTCTGCTCGGCAATATCTTGCAACTATCCATACTGGTCTGCATGACCTTGCATAGGCTCACGTTGCTCCGCCCTGCCTTGCGATCCTTCGCGATCCTTTGCATTGGGTTGCCTGCGTTGCATTGAATGGGCGGTGCCCTACGGCTGCTGCGGTATCAATGCCCCAGTGGTAACGACAACTGGCCGCCGCTCCAATGCACACTGAGTGGCGCCCTGTGGCTCCCTTGCACGACGCCCGCGAATGCCGGATTTTTTTCAAAAACCTTCGGTGCCGTCTGGATTTGAAAATCGAGTACAAAACAAAACCCATAAAGAACACGCGGCTCCGTAGCAAAGATGTTCAAACGAAGCTTACTCATGTCGAAACCGTTGGAACGCCCTTGCCCGCGTGCTGTCGCAAGAATCCTTGCACACAATGGGGCGAAGTGCGCGCGCGCCGTCGCCCGCGCATGCCGAACTCAGTCAAAAACCTTAGTCTCGCAGAAATGTCAAAACCGAGTGTCACCAAGCCACTCGACAAAAACACCGCTTCGAACATTCAATGTTCAGAAAAGCCTGCGCCCGCGCCCATGCGAGTTCTTAAGAGGTTCATCGGCTTCTGTTCTTTTCAACATTTGCATTGGATTCCGCCAAACGGGCCTCTCGCGCCGCATGCCGAAATCGTTCGAGCGCCCTTGCGAGAGTGCTGAAGAGGGCGCGATCCCTGTCAAATAATACCACGCGGGCCACTCTCGCGCGTCGGCTGCGCGCGCATGTCGAACTCTGTCCAAAACCTTCATCGCCGACGCGAGGATGACGTCATCGTCGCCGGCGTGATCAGCATCGGCGCCGTCGCTGGCGCTGCGGTCGTCGTTGTCAACATCGTCAACAACATCGTTGCTATCATCGTCGTGCCTGCCGTTGTCGACGTTTCCATGATACCGCGTTCGCGTCGGCCGCGCCAAACTAGCCGGCCGTTCCGCGCGCGAGCATGCGCTGGCCAGCGCGGCCGCAGTCATGCACCAGTCAACGCCAAGCACTCATCGCAATCGCCTCCGCATGGGCTGTGCAAGCCTAGCTGCGGGCGCGCGGGTGGAAAGTTTGCGCGAGCAGTGGAGCCGACAAATTCAAGCTCGGCAACGTGAATGACACAACGCATAACCTCCCCAAACCATTTTTCCCTGATTACAGTGTAACGCGGGTAAAAAAAACACATGGGCACAACATGATCATGTTTCGAGCGTGCGAAAGACTCGCGGGTCTTATATTTGCGCTTGACGGATCCAAGTTCCAGCGCGGGGGACAGAGCGGGCTCGTCTACGTTGCGGGAATGGGTGCAGAATAACTCTGAACCTCCTGGGCCCAGCGGAAATGGGGCCAACAGTATGCAGCTCGCGAGGTTTACTCCTGCGAGCAAACGGGGATGCGGTTTTTTCCTCACAATCATTGCCCTGGCCATCGCCATCGTCACCACCGCCGCCATCACCATCGCAATCAGTGGCGCCAGCTCGAGCGCCACTGCGGGCCCGCGCCCATCCCCGCAACGAGTCGCACGTCATTGCGGGCCAGACTCCCCCACCCCCAAACCCCCGACAGAAATGCTGAGCACGCCAAAACATACGTCAACCGCAACCATGGCAAGCTCGGCACCCGCGCGACCAGTCGAGCTCAAGAGACACACGTTCTGGCCCAAGAAAGCAGATTGCACCGGATTGGTTGCGCCGCGTAGATTGCACTTCCTGCGTTCGACTGCGTAGATTGGAAAACGCGGGCCGCGCCGCCTGGATACGTCGCCAAATGTTGCCCAACACCAATTGCACTACGTGGCTTGCACCACGTATCTTCTCCGTTCTAGAACGCTTCCAAGATCTACCTCCCTCCCTCCCTGGAACTAGCGGTGCACAACGTTGCAGTGCTGTCGTAAATAATTATGCGCACTCGCCGACCCTAGGAATTAACTCACACCCTCCCAAGCCGCTCCTCATCGGCACCCCGCCACTCGTCCTCTGCAATTGAATGCTATCCGCGCGCGCCCGCCGATCGCCAATCATCGTCTTCCAAAAACCCAGGTTGTAAACATATCTATATATATATAAAGACTCAGTTCACGCGCGATCGTCGCCGCGCGAGCAGGCCGAAATCTTCCATCAACCTGAAGCGCCGTCAGGCTGTTGCAATTCGAGTGCCCCGATAACAGATAGAACTATGGTTTCGTAGCAAAAACATGCGAAAACACCTGCTGCACCCATGCACATGCGAATATGCGAGAAAACCATCGAGGTGTTTCAACATTCTCATCAAAAACATGTCAATGGTGCCTCTCGCGCGCGCATGCGGAAATCGCTCGGACGCCCTTGCGCGCGTGAGGTCGCCACAGCCCCTCGCGAACACAATGGTCGAAGTGCACGCGCGCGGGTCGTCGCGCGCGCATGCCGACATCATTCAAACATCAAGCAAAATGGTTCTTCTACGCGGTCGCCACGTGCGGCAACATTCGACACACGGGCATCTCGCGCCGCATGCCGAAATCATTCGAACGCCCATGCGCGCGCGCTATTGGGGGAGAGGGGGCGACCCCTGTCAAATAATACCGCGACAGCCACTCGCGCCCGCCGGCCGCGCGAGCATGTCGAACTCCTTTCACCACCTTCATCGCCGACGCGAAGGCACCGCCATCGTCGCCAGCGCGATCAGCATCGGCACCGTCATGGACCTTGCCATCGTCATCGCCACCATCGTCACCATCACCGCTGCTATTATCATCGCGTCTACGCGTGTCGACGTCGCCACAATGCCCGACCAAAGTCGCCGACTCGCACTGAAGTGCCCGCTGGGGCGCGCCCAGCGGCCAGCGCCGCCGCGGCAGCGTCGGTCGCGCCAAACTAGCCGGCTGCTGCGCGCGCGAGCATGCGCGGGCTAGCGCGGCCTAAGAGGTGCACCAGCCAACTGGCCGCAATCGCCGCCGCATGGGTTTTGCAAACCAATGCGCGGGCGGGCGGGGCGGGGCGTCTGCGCGGGCAGTGGCGTTGCCAACGCCAAGATTTTCAACCTCAGTTGAAACGCAAAGACTGCGCCACCAAATTGCGCAACGCCCGTGGCGCAGTTTGTATTCTTCACAGCATCGATTGTACAACATAGACTGGGCCGAATAGATTGCACCGCGTAGGTTGCTCAATCTGCCTTGCACCACATATGTTGCGCAACATTAAGCATGTCGAAATTCTTCCTAAAACTTCATCGCCGACGCGCGGACACCGTCATAGTCATCGGCGTCGTCATCGTTCTTGCCGCCGCCGCTGTCATCATCGTCGCCATCATCGCTGCTAGCATCGTCGCGTCTGCCGACGTCGGCGCCGCCGCCATGGCACCGCGCCCACCCGAACCACCGACTCGTACTGAAGCGCCCCCGCGCCGGCGAGTCCTGCGAGACGCGCCCGGGATTGCCCAGCGTCGGGCGGCGGCGCGGCCGCGTCCGTCACGCCCAAACAGGTAGCCGCTCTGCGCGCGAGCCTGCGCGCGCAGGTTCGGGCGCGGCGACGCGCCGGCCGGCCCCAGTCATCGCGATCGCCGCCGCACTGGCGTCGCGCGCCAATCTGCGGGAGGGCGGGCGGGGCAGCAGGGCGAAGTGCACCGCGTAGCTTACGCGGCAAAAACTGCGCGGCAGAGATTGCGCAGCGCGGGCCGCTAGAAACGCGCCGTCTGTGGCCCGCGCTGGCGAATCATCTCTTTTCATTGTTGATTATATATATCTCTCTCTCTCTCTGCATGTTTGTTTTCCCCTCTCTCTCTCTTGCGCGCGCGCACTCACTCGCTCGCGCGCTTGCTCTGTCTCTCCCTCTCTCTCTCTCTCTCTCTCTCTCTCTCTCTCTCTCTCTCTCTCTCTCTCTCTCTCTCTCTCTCTCTCTCTCTCTCTCTCTCTCTATATATATATATCGCTTTTATCTTTTTTTTTTCTCTCTCTCTCTCTCTCTCTCTCTCTCTCTCTCTCTCTCTCTCTCTCTCTTATTGCTCTCCCTCTCTCTCTCTCTCTCTCTCTCTCATTCTCTCTCTCTCCCTCTCTCTCTCTGTGGCAGGAGAGAAGAGAAAGGGGGGGGCCGCCCTCGACGAGCACTGCGGCCCCGCCGCGGGCCGCGCGCCTCCGCGCGGCGAGGGGGGGGGCTCGCGACTCGCCCTGCCCCCGCGGCGCAAGATATCCCACTGGGCCGGAAGGGGCTCCAGCATTCGGGCGGGGGCGAGGGCGAGGCGGGAAGGGGGGGGGCGGAGAGCTGGCCTGCCCCGGCAGGACCAGCCGGCGCGCGCGCCCCCCGGGAGGCGAGGCGAGGGGGCGGGGCAGCACCGGTCGGCAGCTGGGCGCAGCATGCCCCGCCGCCGACCATCGGGCAAGCGGCCAGGAGAGGGGGGGGGGGGGGCCGGCAGCTCGCTCGCGCAACCTCGCTCTGGAGCGCGCGGCGGCCCGACGCTTCGCGCAGGCGCCCGCGGCGCTCCCGGGCAGGAGGGCCCATCGACGGCCTCGAAATGCCAGGCAGGCCAGGCGCAACACATCCACGCCGCGACTTCGAAGAGGGGCGAGGCGAGGAAGGGGGGGGGGGGGGGCGAGGAGGGGCGAGGCGAGGAAGGGGGGGGGAGGGGGGCAAGGGAGAGACGGCAAAACTGCCGAGCATCATCCGCGCGCCGGCCGCGAGGGCGGCGCCCGGCGACCCGCAGAAGGCCGCCCAACTGCTCGCGCCCCCTCGCCCATCATCAAACGCAGAAACAGCGCGTCAGGGGCGTTGCGCCGCAGGGGCGATCCAGCCCGCGCCGAGGCCAGCGCCCTGCGCGCAGCGCACAGGCTCGAGGATGGGCGCATCGATGCCGCGCACTTCTCGACTCCAGCCACGCCCTGCAAAGGTGGCAACTTGAGAGAACACCCCGGCTCGTTGCCCCAGCCAACCAGGGTCTCCAACTCCGCGCGCTTGCGACAGAAGGCGCGGCACACGTTGCACTGGGCGAATTGCCATACTGCCAGCCCGGACACGTGGCGCGCGCCCTTGGAAGCGCCGCGCCGCGCGCCAGCTGTTAGCGGCAGCGCGGAGGAAGGCCGCGGCGACGCGAGGCGCGCCGCGGGCGCTGAGCAGCCGCCCAACGTTCGCCAGCTGCGCGGGGCGGTCGCGTGGCCGGGATCCCAGCGCAGCGGCCGCCGGTCCAGCTTCTTGCGAGCATGCATGCGCCATGGCGGCGCCGAGAGCAGGCCGGGGCATCTGCGTCGCCTGCCGCTGCCGAGCCCTCTCCGCGTGGATGTCGTCGGGGTCGGCCCTCGGCGCAGAAGAGGGCGCCCCGCCGCCAGCTCGACGTCGGCGACCTCGTCGATCCGCAGCCGCCGAGAGCCGGCAGAGGGGGGAAATCCGGATCCTCGCCAGCGTTGCCAGATTGACATCGCGCGCCTCGTGCAACTTCTCCAGGGGCCGCCGGGCACGCGCCCGAACGCGATGGCCGCCGCCCCAGTGGTTCTCCACGCGAGCACCCAGGCAGCCGCCGCCGAGGCACTGGCGCTGGGCGAAGCCAACTCGGTCGTCGGGCCGTGCTCCGCGAGTGCCTGGGGGATGGCTGATGGCGCCCAGCCCGGAGGCCCTGGCACCAGACGCTCGACGGCTTTCTCCTCCTGGGCGCGCGCCTCCGCGGGGACCCATTCCAGCTGCGCCACGAAGAGGAGCGCGCTCAAGGCGCAGCGCCAGCAGGCGTCCACGGTGACCTTGGGCCCCGCCCCGAGAGCGCCACAGCTCCGCGCGTTCCGAAAATTTCCTCAGGAGCGCCTCCCGCGAGAGAACCCCGCGCCCAGGGCCCGCCGCGATGCCGAGGTGCCTGGCCTGCCGCGCCATGCCCAGTTGCCCCCGAGCCGGCGCCCGCTCTGCGATGGCCGCGCGAAGCTGCTCGAGGTCCTGCGCGCCCGAGGGCGCGGCAGCAATTTTCTGGACGCCTGGCCTCAATCCAGAGCAACGCGCGAACTCGTCGAATATTTTTGTGAGAATCGCGATCGACTGCGCCGTCGTAAAAGAAGATGGCGGCGACGCCCGCGCAGGCCGGGGCAAGGGCGCGACGCCGGCGGCCAATGCGCATCGGCAGGAAGTCCAACCGCGCCACCAACGAGAGGGGGGAGGGGGAGGGGGCAAAAGGCAGGCCTGCCGCGCCCCTCACGTCACCCGCGCTGGTTCCGGGAGATTTTCGGCGCCAGTGCATGAGGCGCACCGCGGTCGCGATGATCCAGTTATCCGCCTTTGCAACGTTCGCTGGCCGAGCGCCGGCTGCGCGGAAGACCGCCGATCCCTCTTCCGTGTGCCGCGCTGACATCTTCGGGAGCAGGAGCAACAAGCTTTCGTTCGACTGCGCCCCCAGGGCCTCCATCTCGCCGCCGCCGTGAGGCCTAGACATGCCCTGAACAGGAGGTCGACTGCAGCGTCGCCGAGAACGCCATGCTGAGACATGGGCCCGGTCAGGCCCAGGCGAAGTGTTGCCCGTGCTCCGGAGGGCACGACGCATGTGTCGCCGCACGAAGCGGAAGTCATCGGGCAGCGCGAGAAAGCCGATCCCTGGTGGTCTGGCCCGTCGGTCGTCCTCCCGCCACCCCTGCAGCAGCTGGGAACAGCGCCCCTTGCGCTGGAAGACCCTCTGCCAATGTTTCCGGAAGTTCCCCGCCATGCCGTCGTCATTCGTCAGCGCGCCACCCCTGTCGTCGGCGACAGCCCCAATGCCCGCCGCGCAGCCGGCAGCCAGCCGATGACGCAGCCGAGCCCCGCGCTTGCGGGTGCGGAGCGTGCGGTCCACGGGGGGCCTCGTCCAGCCTGGTGTTCTCCTCTTCGCTGATCGTGGCCGTCGCAAGCTCATCCAAGGCGTGGTCCGCGCCAGGTCCGCGGCGCGCTGCAGTAGCTCACGTAGTCGCACCGTCAAGTTGACCGAGAAATCGCAAGGGTTCGCGACTTTCTCCAGGAAGGCCGAGTAGCGAACGAAGCATTTCGACCCCTCCCCGGATAGGCCGCGCTCCATGGAACGGATGAGTTCCAGCACCCTCACCAGCCGGTCTTCCTTGGATTCGGCAGTAGTGAGCGCCGCGTGGACGGCAGTGCGAGGCGGCGCGCGACCGCGCGGACCGCCGACTTGAAGAGCATGAGCTGCTGCAGTGGCGAGTCCGAGGAGGCGGCGGCGACCTGCTCCGCATACTCCAGGGACTAACCAGCCTATCCCTATCCCTAAGATCGACACGCCCAAAGGCGATGGCAATCGTAGGGATGCACCCTCAGAAACTCAGGGAATCCTCAAGATCGCCATCGTGATGCAGCGATGCCCAACATAGGGATAGGGATAGGTTCTGGGCCGGTAACGGACACGCGGCGACGAAAGTCAGGGTGCTGGAGACAGCGTAGTCGGAGGTGCGCTGCTCGGCCGGGCCGAGGCGCTGCGGAATGGAGCGGGCGGCGAGCACTGGCTTGCGAGGCTGACAAATCAAATGCGGCTTCCACTCCGGCGCCACGGCGCGAAAGCAGCGGCCCAGCTGGTCGACCATGTCGCGACGCATGTAAGTCCTCTCCGGCTGGGCCCTCGACCCCGCCGCCGCGCGCGTGGACTCGGGCTGGAACGTCTCGACCACGGCGAAGGGCGCCCCGAACACCTTCTGAATATGCTTCCCCTCGTTTTTGTCCCTCCTGGAGGCGACCATGCGAAAACGCCGATAACAGTCATATCCGTGAGTGTTTGAAGGATTTGGGCCTCTCTCGGGCTTCCTCCGGGCTCTTGGAGACAGTTTTGGTTTGTGGATGCCATGACAATAGACACCCTAACAATCCGATTATCGAATTCAGCATGTGCTTGAAATGTCTGAAACAAACAGGTGGCAACAAATGCGTAGAACATGCTTGTATTACATATTTAGGCTATGTTTTAAGCATTTCCCCGACATCTGGAAACTATTTGACAACATGCTTCCTCTTCATTGATCGTCGTCCACAAGTCTCGGGGGCCTGTTGTGGGCTCTTTGGCGCTCTCTCGGGTGCTCGTGGGTGGGGAGGGGGGTATACATTTATATGCCACCGTGCCCTTGGTCACGGGGTGGGCGTGTCCTCAGGTCCTCCGCCTCACCCCTGACGCCTAAGGGTTCTTCTAGGGACCCAGACCCCTTGCGTTCAAATCTCTGGGGGTTTCTCGCGTTGTCCCGCGTCCTGTCGCGTGACTTTTTCGGAGCCAAGAGGGCCCCAAGACGGGCCAAGAGGGCTCCAAGAGGGAGGGCACCAAGTCGCCGAAAAATCGCTCTAAGACGCCCGAGATGGCCTCAAGATGGCCCAAGAGGCGCCCCCCCCAAAGAGGGCCCCAAGAGGCAACAATCATTGATACTCCTTCGGTTCATAACGGATTTGGGCGTTCTCGCCTTTTCTGTTATCCGACGCTCCAAGACGACCCAAGAGGTTTTCATGACCACCCCAAAACGGCCCACGATTCCCCAAAGAGGCCCCCAAGAGGGCCCCAAGACGGCCTAATAACGCCCCAACACGGCACAAGAAGAGCCCAAGACGCCCCAAAAGGGGCCCAAGAGGGAACACGAACCGCGAGCTTTCCACCCCAAGAGGCCCCAAAAGGCGCCCAAGAGGCCACAAGAGGCCACAAGACGCTCCCAAGATGCCCCAAGACACCCCCAGGAGGCCCGAACGAGGCCCCAAGAGGCGTCCAAGACGCCCCAAAGAGGCACAAAAACTACCTCCAAGAGGCCCCCAAGAGGCCTCCCAAGAGATCCCAACGAACATCCAATAGGCTTTATACTCGCAAACTAAGCACGCTGGCGGGATGGGCCGACAGGCCTTTAGGTCGTATGTACATATATATCTATATATATATATATATATATATGTACCCGTATGTGTAACGATCGCTCTTCTTCCCCCTGTTTTCCTCACCCCTTTAAGTTGTCTCGGCCTCTCTCTCTCTCTCTCTCTCTCTCTCTCCTTTTTTTTTCCTCTCTCTCTCTCTACATGTATACATATAAAGATAAAATCAAACATATGCATGTGTATATCTCTCTGCCTCGTTGACTCTCTCTCTCTCTCTCTCTCTCTCCCCCCCCGTCTCTCTCCTTCTCGTGTACTCTCCCTCTCTCTTTCTCTGTTACTCTCCCTCTCTCTCCCTGTCCGCCTCTGCCTCTCTCCTGCCCCGTGCCTACGCATTTGTGTAGGCAGGGGGCTTGCTGTGATGCGGCGATCCGCCCAGAAGCGAACAAGACGCCTGCGTTGTGAATTCAAACGCAGCTGTACAGGTAATCGACCGAAGCAACGGCGTAGATCTGATGCCGATTCAAGTGGCTACACTCAACTAGCTTGTGCGATAGTCACATCAAAACTATTCAGGCCAGCGCTGCTGAGTTTTGTTACGGACGAAACTCGTGCTGGCCGTGACTTATCAAAAGGTAAGTGGACGCAGATGGGATCATTCAAGCACGGCTTCCCACGGCATACAGAAGCTGCATTGATAAACACGGTGGTCCCATCGGAAGAATAGCCATAGCCTTCGTGGATGTGTCCCGAAACTACTACGCGTGGGCGATTCGCCCTCACTGCGTTCAACAGATCGTGGCAACCAACTCTCTTCCCCGTGCGCAACTTGTCGCCCCGTCCGAGCGGTGGGCCGTGCACGATCAGCACATCCACATCCTCGGCAATGTTATCCCACTTGCTGCGGAGAGGGTCGCCTCGTGGCAACGTGAATGCTCGACACGTCTCGGCATGGCCAAAATACTCTGGCTGCCACGGTGTTCCGAAGAACGTCAGTCCGAGAATGTGAGCAGCTTCGTCCCTCAACACACGGCATTTTTCATGAAGACCCAGTGCGACCTCTGGTGTGTTCTGCAACGCACTGTCATGATTGCCAGGCACTGCAACGACATGCTGGCAAGTTCCACTGTCGATCAGCTCTGCGAAAAAACGAAAGATGTCGGCCACCAAACGTGCACTTCGGTGAATGTGCGTCTGGCCCCGTGCACTTCTCAAGGAAGTTCCCCAACCAATGCTTGCACTTAAGGGTTCTTGTTCGCCTTCTAGGGAGCTGGGCCTGTACGCCGCTCCAGCCACTTGCTGTTGCCCGTCGCCGCCAATCGCCGCCGCCCGTCTGCCCATCACCGGCCGTCGCCGCCGCCCGTCTGGGTTTGCGCGCCGTTCCTGCCGGCCTGTTGTTGCCAGTCGCCGCCTGTCGCCGCCGTCCGTCGCCGCCGCAATATGGTCGCAATTTTAATTTCGCGAGCTCTGGCTGCACCAAATATATTGCCCCACGTAGATTGCAACACGTATATTGCACCACGTAGCGCGCACAACATATATGCTACTGTCAAAAAAACGATCCGGATCCCGCCCCAGCTTTATCGGTACACTTGTTTATGTTGCAATTTGCACATGATTCTGCATCATCGTCCATCCTAACTATGAACTCATACAATCCCATCCCAGCTGGTAACGACCCCCCACCATCCTTTGCAAAAAACTATGCGCGCACACTCGTTTTTCAAAAACCATCAGTTTTCAAAACAAAACCGTTCAACAACAAACAAAGGCATGCACACGCGCGCGTCGTCGCGCGTGCAAGCCGAACTCCTTTGAAATCCTCTGGTTTCGGAAGGATTTCAAAATCGAGCGTCCAACAAAACATATAAAAACAACGGGTTTCGCAACACGGATTATTTGCATATGCAAAAAAATGCGCGCGCCGTTCGCACTCTTGCCATTTCTGAACAAAACAGCACGTTCTCAACATTTTCAAAACAACAAAACAACTATCAAACGGGCTTCGCGCGAGCGCGTTTCGAAATCGTTCGAAAAGCCTTGCGCGCGTGCTGTCGCGAGAATCCTTGGCCAACAACTTGATGATGTGCACGCGCGCGCGTCGTCGCGCGCATGCCGAAGTCCTGCAA